CTCAACTTAAGGCTGTGTTTGATTAGAAATAAATAATTGAATGTGAAGAGATAGTAAAAAGTGAAGTAAAAGCAAAGAAAAGAAAAGAAAAAATATATATATATTTTCTTCAGTGAATTTGACGGGATGAAAATTTTGTAAGAAAATAGGAATTATAATTATAATTATATAAGAAAATTAATTTTCTTGTAATTTTCATCACTTTCATTTCATGCTAAACAAACTTGGAAAATAAATTATTCTTTTCCATTTCTCTCACTTTCTACCATTTTTATCCTAACCAAACTTAGCCTAAGGCAATGCTTAGATTTTGGATTGGAAAAGTCTGCAGACCTAGACATATCCATACAAAATTTTCTAATTGAGTGGTTGTGTGGTTAAGATTACATTTTTGTAGTGTAGACTCCATAGCTAATTAAGTCTGAAATATAATATTACTGTTTTGAATTTGACCAAGAATTTGTAGTGGAAAAAAATGTGAAATTAATAATAATAATTTATAGTCATGCGCGTCATGAAGACATTTTTTTTTTTCTTATTTCAAAATCGAATAACTCTGTTTTTATGAACTAATAAATTTATTGCCAATTGCAAAAATACTGATATAATTATTCAATTTCTGAATTTGTGCATTGTTTTTTTTTAAATTTTTTTTGGATAGGAGGCATTATGTTTAAACCATCAAAAGTTTGATTTCAGAATTTATTTAATTATTATTTTTTTTTTTTTGGGCATCTTGTTTCATGTACTTTGTATTGGCGAACCTCAACTTGGTATCATTTCCTTTTTTTATTTAAAAAATTAATAATAATAAAATTGAATGCGACACATGATTCGAAAATTATTTTTGAAAATTCCTTTTGCAAAGAAATTATTTGAAACCACCAATTTTTTAGGAAACACTTTGAAAATATTTTCTGAAATTTCAAAAACTGCTTTGCAAAACTAACCAAATAGATGGGGGGACCAATGAACGTTTTTAAATTTTTATTTTTATTTTTTAAAAAAGCAGAAAGAAAAAACATAAAAAAATGTAAAACAATATCTAAGACTCTTACAGATCTAATTGTGGTAAGAATGAATTTGGGCCGTTGGTTACAGTACTATCAGTTCAGGTTTGGGCCTTTAGGGAGGGGCTGAAAGCCTGAAGTTGTCTTTTCCATCAGCTTCACCTTGACCCAATAACAATGGCATGTGATCTGCCCAGCGGAAATTCTATTTCCGCACATTTAATTATCTTAGTGCATATCTTTTCTCAGTATAAATACTTATTAATTTGATTATTAATTAAACCCACAAACACTATGTTTGGGAATCTAGAAAAGAAAAGAAAAGAAAAAATTACTTAAATTATAAGAGAAAAGAAAAGAAAAGAAATAATTGTGATAAAAGAAAAGAAATAATTGTGATTTATTTCCTTCTTATTTGGATAAGTAAAAAATAAAATAAAAGAAACGATTATAATTTATCTCCTTCTTGTTTGGTTAGATTTCATAAAAGAAAAGAAAATAAATTATTTTCTGTTATATTACCAAAATAACATTTTCATATTTTCAATCATTTTATTTCTTTTATTTTTATAGGGACAAAATTGGTATTATGAAAATATTGGTTTTTTTTCTCTCCCAACCTCTCCACTTTTTGGAAGATTGAAAATGAGAGTTATAAGAGAAATAAGTTTCTCCCCGTTTCTCTTCATTTCTGTTCATTTAAGTTATCCAAACAAGTAAGAGAAATACATGTCTCTCAATTTCTTTTCTTTTCTTTTCTTTTCTCTCCAAATCACTCAATCCAAACATTGGGTAGAAGTTACAATGATATGTTTCACTCATAATCGTTGTGCACACACCACTCAACCCTCCTTTTCATACTGTTTTGTTTTGTTTTTGTTTTTGTTTTTTTTTTTTTTTTTGTTGTATGTTTTTTGGTTTGGAGATTTCGACATTGGTTTTTCGAAATTATATATTTAATTCAAAACTTAACTTCCGAATAAAAGTGATTAGTTTGACAAATTTGTTCTTAAAAAAAAATAAAAATAAAAAACTTTCAGCAGTTGATGTCCTAATATAATGAAATAATTCAGCACTGGTTGTCCGATTGAAAACTGCAAAAGGGGAAAAAAAATTCTACATAAAAAAACTAACATTTTCATCACTAATAGAGTATAAATTTAGAAATTAAAACAATATGATAGTTGTTATAAGAGTATTGAAAGAAATAGAGAAGTATAGAGTCTGTAGCAAGCAAAGTGACAACAATGGAAAAATTAAGGTTTAGTTTTTTTTTACTCAAAAGGTGTACATTGAGATTTTTTTTGTTTTTAAAAAATGTTTACAAAAAATATTTTCATATAATATTATAGGTGCTAGTGGATGTCCATTATGGTCATTTTAGTTTAAAATATAATTGTCATTAAAATAATATTTTATTAAATGTATACACTGAGATAATTAGGTGTTTGGAAATAGAATTTTCCCCATAATAGCTTACCTTTGACTTTTGCTTTTTCCTCTTTCTTTTTAGGATAAATTACAAATACATCCTTTGAAATTTGCTTAAAATACGTATTACTCCTTGTGGTTTGAAAAATTATACATATCCCCTCATTAGAATTTTTTATTTAAAAAAATTAAATAAAAAAATAAAATTCATAATTGTTCTCCTATACAATAAAAAAATTATCTAAATTATTAATTAAAATATATTTTTAACAACGTTAAAAACTGTTAACTAACTCGATAATTTATTAATAAAAATGGTGATTTGTTATGAAATTAGAAATCATAAAGGGTGGAATATAATTTTTAAAATCACAGGAGACAATTCGTATTTTAATCAAAACTCATAAAGTGTATTTATAATTTTTCATTCTTTTTAATATTGATTTATCATCTTTGAATGACTTTACCAGATACAAAAATGCATATATAGATGAACAAGATTTTTAAAAAATGTTCCTATAAAAAGCGTAGAATTTTTTCAATTCATATATCTTTTATATCGTTTTATGTATTTGATTTTTGTGTCAGTAACTTGAAACGTGTGGATCACAAAACATATCTAATCACTAGAATGGTTGTACCATAGCACTAGAATTAGTAGAATGAGTGTGTACTACATAGCACTAGAATGAATATCATTTACTATGCATAAATATCCTTTAGATTTTTTGAGACATACATGAATATCGTTTATCATGCATGAATGTCATTTTCACCCCTTTGCAAGGGCAGATGTATATTGGTACTATATTACTATTTTTTGATAGATAGTTATGAGAATCACTATTTTGATAACAGAATGTTATGATATTCTGATTCAGTCTAATTAAACTAGCTGGATCAAGTTAGATTTTTTTTTGTTTAAAATCTTAGATTGACTACAATCTTAGTCACAAAAGTATAATTACATTACTATCTTGATTCTAATATGATCCTAATTACAAAAATTATTTTTTATTATTTATTTTTCATATATATGTATATCAAAATTTTGTTTATTTGCAGAGAAAGTAAAACCTTCTCATTAAATAATATAATAAAATTTGTTTAAATTATTTGAATTAAAATGTTGGAAGGACATTTGAAAATTTTGTTTCTCTAAAAGCAAAGTTAATGTATTCAATTTACTATTTGAATAAAATTATTTTGAGAGAGAATTGAAAACTTAATTCCTATCTAAAAACTTGATTTTCCTCTAAAATCTATCAGTCGCCTCGTTGAATTTTTTTTAAATTTCTATTTTAACCTCAGCTTGACACTAAATTTAGAACCAATCCAATTATAATTAATTTCAAATTTTTAGACTCAGAACTAAACTAACCATGCACTAAAACTAACCCAACCCAACCCAATGTAACTCGAGTTGTTCAAATGGAAACCAACGGTTTTACTATATTAAAAATAAATGAATCAATCAATAATAAATAATTAACACAATCAAGTCTTTAACATTTATACATAACACAAAAAAGACTAAAATATTATTTAATACAAGTAAATACAAATTAAATCCATTAATATAACTCATACAAGTTAAATCAACTGTAAAATACAACACATGCTTCTAATATTTTTTGGGTTCACCCAACACAAAAATTATTAAGCATAATCAACTTCATTAAAATATATCAATTACATGAAGACATGTCAATATAAATAAAATTCTAGTAATATATATATATATTAACTTTGAGAAAATGATTAATTATTAAAATATGTGAATTTTAGAAAAAAAAATAATGTATTTAGCTTAATTATGAGATAATATGACTTAAATTTATTTTGGAAAGTGACTTTTTTTTTTTAACTTTTTTTTTATACAAAATATATTAAAAAAATAAAAAGATAATATAATCTAAAAAAAATTAAAAACCAAAAAATTAACTTTTAATCTCTTTACTAAAAAAGTCTAATAGTTCGATTTTTCGATTCACTGATAATTTAAGCACCGCTATTGGTGCTGTTTGGTGTAGCTGTTAAAACAGATTATAGATTATGACTTAACAGATTATAGATTATAACTTTAATCAGAAGCTGTTAATCTTTTTGGTATAACTGCTGGATTATAGATTTAAGTTGCTGAATAGTATTTGTTAAATAAGCTGTGAACTAATTTTTTCAATTAATTGTTATTTTTTATTATTTACTATTTATCTACATTTTTCATAAAAAATAATAATAATATTTAATAGTCCATTTGATTCTTTTTCTATTTTTAAAAAAATAAAAAATAAAAAAATCTAAAAATATAACCGTAAATTAACATGTCCACAGCATAAACTAATAAGCAGAAACTGATAATCAGAAACAAGGGTGAGCAGCTTCTCAGAATCAGCTTTTTTGACTTAAAATAAGTTATTAGAATCAGAAACTGTTTAAAATAAGTTTAACCAAACAATCCAAAATAACTTTTTAAAAACTAGAAGTCATAAGTTGACTTAAAAAAGCTCCACCAAACACCCCCATTGTGCATCTCATTCACTTTTCATATTACATAAATCAATTAAAATACCATAAATTACTTTAATGCCTCCATATAAAGAAAATCACTTGTTGAATAACTACAACTGATTTCAAATTAAAATAAACTACAAATATGAGAATATGAAAGGTCCAACATGGCCTTACCAAAATGATCAATGTATACACACATGACATCATTGACATGACCTATATATACATACATGTCTGCTGTATACATTGTATTAACATGGTACAGCACTTAGACCACAATGCCCCTCTCACACGTGAACACACTCATAGACTTCCCAAGTCTCCTGTGAAGGGTGTGTGGGGTTAGTTATACGGTGCTACGCGACTCACAGACTAAGAATGTGTCGGCCCTAATTGATTTAATCAGAACCACAAATCACATCAGAATGGCTTCTGAAGGTACATGAACATGTCTTGTAATGGAGAAGTGAAGGCATTGTCCATGGTGGCATCCATGTAGTTAAATGGAAAATCGAGGGCGGCTTTCTCCCAATCGGTCAGCTTTGACGGCTCGCTCTGGACCTCCCTCTCACACGTAAATTCTGGCGACACGACGTGCTCCGAACAACTTGAGTCCGTGTGGAGCCTTGGGATGGAATCCGATGTGTCGCGGTAAACCAACTCACTGAACATCCTCGTCGCCGGTGGACTCTCTGGCGGCGGCGATAACATGACGCCGCCGCCGTGGTGGTTCAGAATCTGCGGCTTTTGTTCAAACATTTCAGGAATTTCGCTCAATTTCTTGTCGATGACCGTGTTTTGCTTCTCGATGCTTCCTTTTTTGTTGTATATACGACATAGGACCCAATCGTCCAGCTGCAAAATCCCCACGTTAGCTTCAATCAATCATAATTCAATCAAATCTAAATCAATTACGTAATAAATGGTCACGTTCAAAAAACTACTATCGCTATAATAATATCATAATTCTCTATTTTGTCCTATGTCACAAACAGATAAGAAGGAATAATATTCCGTAAATGGAAAGTAATAAGTGAACATTGTTTAATTCTAGCAATCATAGTATGACATGTGTCCCCATGGGCCTTATTAATTAAATATTTAAAAGCTTTTGATGTCGGTATATATATATATAATTTAAATAAAAAATATTTACAAAATAAGTAATACTATTATTATTCTTTAATTATTTTCCAACAAATTAAATTTTAAAGATTTTCGAAAAGAAACAAAACCAAACTAAGGACACAAACTCAATGAAGATATTGTTTAGCATTTGTTTGGAATGTAGGTTAATTTTTAATTTTTTTTTGACTATTTTAAAATAAAGTTAAAAAATGTCGTTTGAAATAATTTTTTAAATTTTTTAAATTTTATAAAATAATAAATAAAATTATTATGAATAAAATGTTACATTTTATCTTTTTAAATTAAAAAATATATTTTATTTTTTTATAACTATTTTAATCAATAAAAATCCCGTCGAAGGCTTAGTCCTAGCATATGACAATAGACAACAATCCTATTCTCAAGTGTGACTCATTTGATGATCTGTCTGATTAGTGCCTGGAAGTATCCAATTCACAAAAGGACCGACATCAGTTTTCATCACAACTAAAACGGTCCGATTGGTATTTTAAAGACTTCCAAGGTCAAAATAGTCATTTAAATTCTATCCCAACCACCAACACAAACCCCACTACAAAAATACTTCAATATATATATATATAATTTAAAATACGTCAGATTTATTTTTTATCTTCCTTTTATATTATAGGAAAAAAAATTAGAGTAATTAAAACCTAGAGTCCACATGAAATGTCCAATTTACCCCTAAAGTACTCAAATTAATAATGGATCGGTTTTTTATACCCTTAGGCTGTTGTTGCATTTCTTGCGGGCGGACCGGTCCACATCTGCTAGCCTGTACTCGTGCATAATCCAGTTGGTTTTCTCTCCCCTCGGAGCTTTTCCGGCGTAAAACACCAGAGCCTTCTTAATTCCGACCGGTTTTGGATGCCCGATTGGCTTATCCGCCCCGGTCGCCTTCCAATACCCACTACCCGCTGCCCGATTCGGCCTAGATCCGTTCGGGTACTTCCGGTCCCTTGGCGAAAAAAAGTACCATTCTTTCTCCCCATACAAGGCCAAACCTGTAAATTCACAACAACAAAAAAAATTCAGCAAATTATCGAAAAACCCAAATTAAAATATCAAGCTAACAAAATCACCAAAAACAATAAATAAATAAAATAAAATGACATGAAAATCAAATATCTAAAAATGACGTAATTTTATTTCAATTTTAAATAATGACTGTTAGATTATAATAGTAAAATTATTGTGAATCCTTCTCCTATCTCTCTCTTCCGTAATCGAAAAAAAATTACAAATTTTCTTTTTAATTACCCGGAAGTTCCCATGGATCGTACTTGTAGAGATCGATCTCAGCAATGATGGGAACAGCAATCGACTGCGACGCACATTTACGACATAGATAGTGCATCACGAGCTCCTCATCCGTTGGATGAAATCTGAAACCAGGGGGCATTTGCAACTCTGATGCCATTTCTCTCTCTAGAACTCTCTCTCTCTCTCTTTGAATGGGGAAGGGAGAGCTTGAAAATTGAAACTTAGAACGCAAGGGAGAGAGGGGAATATATAGGGAGGTGGGTGGGACAAGTGTCGAGCTGGGCCGGTGGTTTCTAGAATACACGTGGGTGATAACGTTGGGTTCGTGCGGACCAGTGAGCGCAGCCGGACACGTGGCAGAAGGAGGAGTAGCGGTGTGTGTCTCGGATGGCCCCACATTGTTGTGATTCTGTCACTGCTTACGTTTTCTCTTTTGGACCGGCTCTCTCCTCATGAGTCGGCTCGGTTACTGAGCGTTTCTGGACCCCACCCTCGCGATCGGTGGTGTGGTGTCAAGTTGACGGTTGTTTTCCATTTTTATTTTTATATTTAAAAAAAGGATTTGGGTCCGGCCCAAAATATTGACCCTTTTTAGGAAAATTATTATTTTTAGTATAATTATTATATTTTAAAAATATTAAAATTATTTTTTAATTTAAAATTAAAATAGCATAATTATTTTTAATACTCATTATCGTAATTATTTTTTTTGTATATATTAATATCAATAAATTTAAATATAAAAAACAAATAAATAAATAATATTTTGTGATGAAGAGTGAATAAAATATCTAGGTACTTGAGGTGCCATCCAGGAACAAAGATAAAAATTATGTTTTGTAGCTTGGTAAAAAGTTAGAAGATTGCTTTTTTTTGGCATTAACGGGTCTTTTGGCAAATTTGTTAAAAGTTAATTTTTAGTTTTTAATTCATTTTAGATCATATTATTTATCTTATTTTTTATTTATAAAAAGATAAAAAGATAAAAAAAAAGTCAAAAAGTTAACTTTTTACTAATTTCTCAAATTGCTCCTAAAACCATTTGGAAAGTTAGCTAAAAACTATCTATAAAATTACAACTATACCTTCCAGTTGCAAAATAAGCCACATGTGTAAAAATGTAAATTTCTTAAATTGGATGGAAATATTTTAGTTATTTAATTGTGATGTAACAATATACACAAATATTAAGAAAAAAATCAAAAAATAATTTTTTATCAGCTTTTCAAATAAATTTTTTTTAAAAAAAAAATTAATAAAAAATAAAATATCAATTTTTAATCATCTTTTCAAAAAAAAAAATTCATAAAAAATAAAATATCAACTTTTAATCATCTTTTCAAAATATCACTGGACTGGACAGACAGGTTGACGGTGGATGAGAGATACATGTCGGCGTCCTAAGAAAACACATGTGCGGGTGAGGTGTATACACTGAAGCGTTACGAGTTAGATGCCAAATCACCACCTCTCCGGAACACACGTGTTTGGTGAGAAATTGTGTAATAATTTCAAAATATTACGGGTTGATTTGGAATGTTCTAAAAAAATATAATTTTTGACTTATTATCTTATATAGGTTGGGTTTGATGTGATATATTAAAAAAATGATCTGATTTAAATAAAATGATGTGACTTAATTAGGATAGTGACTTTTTAACTTTTTGTATTTTTTAGTTTATGCCAAACCAACCCTACGTAGTCATATTTTAAATTAATCATTAATTATTTAATTTTTATATTATTTTTTCATCTCAAACTTAAATTATAGATTCTTATCTCTCTCTATTAATTAAAATTTTATGAAATACCACGTAATTATATTCTAAAAATATTAAATAGTCACCCATATTTGGCTTGGTTTGATTTTTTTTTTCATGTTTATATTTTTAAAAATAACTTGTTTTTGACAATTATTTTTGAAAACCGCTACATTTTGAAAAAATATTTTCAATTTTTATAAAAAAGATGAACTTATTGCATATTACCTAATAACTTTGTTAATTTTATATTTTTTATAAAATTATTTATACGGAGACTCCTCAACTATTGAAAATATTATTTTAAAATTTTAAATTATAAAAGCATACAAATAGACTCTTTAATCTATACAACAGTATCACTTTACCTCTTAAGTTATAAAAATATACAAATAAATCTCTTAAATTATTAGTGTGTTTCACTATGACCCACAATTAGGGACTCCAATTTGGGAGGCAAAGTGATAAAAATAAAGTATGATAATTATGGATAAATTTTATGAGAATTTGGTTAAAACTCCCTCATAATAAAATTTTAATGCATTATGAATATTTATAAAAAAAAATTCTTATAAAGTCCAACGCATATCATTATTATCAAAATAATAAACTTTAGAATAATGCTAGGAACCCCAAATGTTTTACCAAATGTTTTACTAAATATCTCACGTGAGTGTGAGACCCACATGGGATCCATATAGTGTGGGTTCCACACCCATGTGAAACATTTGATAGAATATTTGATAAAATATTTGGGATGCCTAGTATTTTTCTAAACTTTAAAATTATATAACTTTTGATGTAGATATCAATTTTTAATATAATTAGTATTTTTAGAATTATCTCATCAAAATCTATCAAATAAGATTCATGTTGACTATGAAATTCTAAAAATAAAAAATAAAAAATTATTACCATCGAAATTGATGTAAACAACAATATGTACTCTGTTTGACAGTTATTATGTTTGATAGTAACATATTACTTAGGTTCACAGTAACATGTTACTCTGGCAATATTGTCTGAGAAAAAAAAAAGAAAGATATTTTACTTTGTCCTTACTCAATTATATATTTTCTCCTTAATAGATTTATGAAACAAAATAAATTTGACTATCTTTTTCACCAAATAAGAGTCTAATGGAGGGATTTTAGCTAAATTTTTCAATTTTACTATTGATGAGAGTTAAAAAATATATAAAATGATAAATACAAAATAAATATTAAGTGTAATATATTAATATTTTTATCTTAATTTATTTAGCCTTCATTTGGTATGTGGATTGACTTTTTGACTATTTTAGCCTTAGGATAGGTTTTTTTTGGCTTTTTTGACTTTTGTGAGAGAAAAAATAAAATGATTATGAAATAGATGTGATATTTTATCCTATTTGACTAAAATAACTAATTTTGTCCTATATGAGTATTTTGGCCCAAAATAATATCTCAAACAAAGTCTTAAAAATTTTAAAGGACAAGTTGTTTCCTTCTCGAGTTAGGACAACTTGTAAAGGGAATGATTATTCAGTATTCACAGAGTATGGACACGCGATGCTGCATAATGTTTTGATTGATAGAGAGAGGTAGGGACTCACGATTTATGTTAGAGATGGAAAACAACATGGGAGCTAAGTAATTGGTAATCGACTTGGAATATGGTCACATGATGTTTTAGAATTATTGAATAATTTCCTCTTGTAAAGGGTTGGAGAGGGGATGCGGAGGTGAAACCGGGCGGGAGAAATTGCCATCCCTAGCCAAGGAGTAATGCCACTCCACTTAATGTTTTTTTTTTTTTTTTGCGTTCTCTCATTTGTTAACATACCAAGTAATTAATATCACATAATATTTTATACTACTTAATCATCTCCCTTTAATTACACATCAGATAGTAAGATAATATAATAAAAACAAAAATGTTAGAGGTTCCAAATGTTTTATCAAAATTTCTATTCAGTCACTAATATGAGTCTCACACCCATATAAGTGTTTGGTAAAAATTTTATTAAAATATTCAGAATCCCTAACATTATTCTAATATAAATAAAAAATCATTATAGTATTACTCTATATAAATTGGCATGTTATTATAAGTCCTTTTAATTACACATCATATAGTAAGATAATATAATAGAAACAAAAATGTTAGAGGTCCCAAATGTTTTATCAAAATTTCTATTCAGTCACTAATATGAGTCTCACACCCATCAAATGTTTTATCAAAATTTCTATTCAGTCACTAATATGAGTCTCACACCCATATAAGTGTTTGGTAAAAATTTTATTAAAATATTCAGAATCCCTAACATTATTCTAATATAAATAAAAAATCATTATAGTATTACTCTATATAAATTGGCATGTTATTATAAGATTTAAAAACTCCCCAACATGTTTTCGGGTTCATATGAAAGGTTTATATATAATCATTAATTATAAAATGAAGAAATAACTGGCTAATAAAGTTGATGGAATATCTCTATGTTAGGAAATGTTTTCATTCATGATAAAATAGGTGGATCGTAGCAACCTTTCAATTGTATCTGCCAACTAGTGTTTTAGTGCACTATGTAAATGTAATTAATGAAATAACAAAAATTAATTGGGACTATCATTAATATAACGCCATCCTTTCCATACTAAGGACTCCAAAAAAAATAAATAAATAAATAAAACAAAACAAAACAAAACAAAAACAAACTTTGTAAATGTAATTCATGAAATAATAATAATTAATTAGGACTAGCTTAAGTTGTTAAAATCATTACATCCAGTGGTGGAGGGAGTGAGGGCCCAAGCGGTAAAGTGCCCCCTAGATTTTGAGATTTTTTTTTTTAAAATTTTGTATACATAAAGAAAATATTTTAAATAAAAAAATTACAAAAATATTATTGGAGTGAAATGTCAATGACATTTTAAAAATTATGAGAACAATAATGGTTATTTTAATTGAAAATAAAGAGATTACTATAAACCATATTATCTATGAAATTTTTTGAATGTAATGGTCATGCCATTATTGTTGACATGTAAGTATAAGTAATTTCATTATAAAAATATGAAATTTATTGGATTGTTAGTTATATTTGATATGTGAAGTTCATTTTCTATGTATTTATGTACTATTAATTGGTGATATCACATATTAATGATGACGTGGTATTACTATTATATTGAATTTGTCATTATCAAATTTTGTATAAAAAAAATTTATCATTATATAATTTATTTTAAGACTTATAGCTATATTTTTTTTGTATTGTCCATGATACACTAGTTACAAATAACATTATTTTTTGATATTCCTCGAAATCAATTGTAAAATCTTGCGTGAAATATTTTTGTAAAATTTTTTAATATTATAATTAATAACAGTCCCTCTAATTTAATTTTCTGACTCCGCTATTAATTATATCTTACAGAAAGTTATTAGTATGACGCCATCCTTTACAGAT